CGTCCTTGAAACCACTTGAAAACTAGCTGAAAACTAGCTCAGCACTAAGCAAGGCAGGTGTCCTGGAAGCTCAAACCTAGCTCGCAAAACATGTCAATGTCAGTAAGGCAGGCATCCTTGAAAGCCAGCTCAAAAACCCTAGTTCCTAGAACACACCAGGTCTAAACTATGAAACTAGCTCACAACTAGCTCAAAACTCACAAAGAAATTGAAGAAAGGCAGGTGACCTTGAATGGCAGCTAAAGACTGGCTCACACAATGTGAGCAATGTAGGTGTCCTTCAAAACCAGCTCACAACTGGCTCACAAAAAGAACTAAAAACTAGTTCAGAAACAAATGTGAGCAAGGCGGGTGCCCTTGCGAACAACCTCAAAACTAGCTCAGAACTGTCTACAGCAGGTGTCTTTGCTCAAGGCAAGCTCCAAACAGAGAAGTGTGAAAGCACGGCAATGGACGCCAGCTCAAAACTAGCTCCAAATTAGCCCATGAAAAATGCGAGGCAATCAGCTCAAAAGTGGCTCGAATCTAGCCTGACACTAGCTTTCGAAGAAGTGTGAAACAGGCACGCATCACTCATGTTTCTACGCCTCAGTGATAAAGGAAGACAGCGCTCAATCACAATGAGCCAATTACACTGACACAATGATGGCCAAGACGTTGCAAGCACTTGCTTTTGCATGTTGGTGCAGCCAGGTGAGTCAGCAAGAACATCTCCTGGTAACCAATTCACAAGCTGGCCTTGCTGGCGATTTTAGCTGACCTTTGTTCAGGAGATTTCGTCTGTGTGCTGCACACTGTGTGGCGGGCGCATAACACTAACCAAACGTATATGGTAGTAGTTGCTGTTGTAGTGCTATGATGGCCTTGATATGTTTGGTGTTCTGTTGCTTATGCCCACTCACACTTAAACCCCGTGATGGGCCAGCAATGCATCCAGCTGAGCTGGCGTAGGCTGCCTTGTTGGGTGGTCCCTGGCTCACTGTCGCGCACCAGCTGCAGGCAGTCCTTGCAAGCAGTACTTGACGCGCTGCGCACAATGGTGCTGCGCAGTACTCAAATTCTCATACTCCTGCTTCGCAGCATCCTTCTTCTTGAGCGCCTTCGATGCCGTCCTGTGTGGTGCGTTTCCGCAACGCCTGAGGCGCTCAGGGCTCGGACCTGCATTGCCAGGAGGCTCCGGCTCAGACTCACTTGGGTCCACCCGCCGCACACCACCAGCAGGTCGCTTGTGGCCGGCTCCGAAGGGAGTGCCGATGTTTTTTTACAGGGCATCGTTTCCTTCTTCAGCCGGTATACATCCCTCGCATTGGAAAGTGCTTGAAGCACTGCCAACCGCCACCTGTGCTCTTGTTCACCTTGTGATGGCAAACGCTTGTCTGGATGACTTTTTGAAAGCTTTTAATGCAGCCTCTTCATCATCTGCCTCTCGCAGGCTGAGCAGCCGGAAAAAGTGTGCCCGGGAAATCACCATTTGAGCCAGCGCGCTGAGGGATGGCATTGCTTTCATGTTTGCCAACCTCCTATGCAACACGCTGCTTTGGCGCCCTACTCATCAAGTGATTGCTGACCCCAGCCTGGCCCTGCCCTCTCATTGCCACATTGCTTGCCCAGGCCATTCGCACCTGGCCAGGCAGGAAGCAGATTGGCGCACTACCAGCATCAGCGTGCAGTGGGTGAATAAGCCATTTGCAATCAACAGCTCACCTGTCTAGCTGCGCCCATTCTGACCTCACACGCTTTTTGCTTTCCACACATTCCTGACTGCAGACAAAACACAACACCCTCTGAAGGAGCCACATGAATTGTGGACATACCCACGCATCACTGGCTGCCACCGCAGATTGTCAGTGCCTCTCTAGCCTCAGCCTGCTTCCATGTATATACAGCAGCAGTCAGTTGCACCGTTCCTAGAACCCCCTGGCGCGGTTTTCAGGCACAATCATTGGCTAGACTTCTCTCACAGGCAGGCTTTTGTTGAGACTCTGTTGGCAATTGAATGGCATATGGTTCACCCTCCTGCAGCTGGCTGGCTCAGGCCAATTCCTTTTGCAACTCAGGCGAACAAAATTTCATGACGTGTTGCCGGTTCTTGGCAACAAGGACCAGTGCCCAAAGAGTGTGTGGCCTCTTCTTCCATGGCATCAGTGAAGGGCGATTGGTGCGCAGCAGTTTTACATTCTCAAAAGAAACTGAGCCAGGCACAAAGCGCGGCTGGACCCCTGTTCACCCCATGGAAGTGAAACAGCGCATTGAAGTTCCAGACCTGGCCCTTAGCCTTCATCAGCTGGGCAAACATGCTCAGCCATGTTGTCAGGAGTTGCTTCACACGTGCGCGGAATTTGTCCACAGCGTGTGGCACACCCAGGTCAAGTTTGCGTGTGTGATCAGGGAGGGCCATGCGGATGTTCATCACATAATGCTTTGCGAAGTATGCTTGCTAGTCTGCTGGCTCACCTTTGCGGGCCGGCCCCGTGACACATGGACACAACAACCAGGATTGGAAAGTTGCACAGTGACTGGATGCCATCAAGGTTGCAAGCAGCCTTCAAACTCCCCAGCACATACCTGTGATTGGCCCATGTTTGCAACACGCACATCTAGTTCTGGCCAGAATGGGTTTGAGTTCCATATGATACCCTGCAACTGCTCCACCATGGTCATCATCAGTGAAAGGTTCGATTTCGATCCCTGAAAAAAGCAAGAGCTCAGTGACAGTGAGTCTGATAGCGTTGCATCATGTCATTCGCTTTGCCAGCGCATAAAAGCAATGTGTTCTGCCCTCCCCTCCTTCCCTCTGTCCCTCCCTGCCAGCACTGCGCAGGCAGTGTGAAGGTTAGTAATGAGCCCAAAGTGCAGCGGTAGCGGAAACAGAGAATGCAGCCACAAAAGTCCAAGGGTGACGGAAACAGAGAACGCAGCCACACCTCAGTGGTTTGCTGCTTGTTTTGCCCTGCCTGCCTGTCTCTGTTTCTGCTTATGCCTGCTTCACTTTCACATTCTGATTCCTTGTGTATATCTTAGGACTTGCCTCTATCAATAAATGGCCCCCCTTCTTTATCAGTGCTAGGGGGTTATTTTGGGCAGTTGTACCATACTGATTGTGGATATATTTAATAGAAATTCTTGGCAGGGTCACTATTAGTTCATACTAATTTATACCAATTTGATACCAATGTTTATACAAATTTGATACTAATGTTTATGCAAATTGTATACCACATGTATACCAAAGTTATACCAAGTTTATACCAATGTTAAACACAATGTATGCTGCAGTTATACCAATGTTAAACATTTTTGTGTTACCCATATAATACCATATTTGGGCTCAGATGTTATACCCCGTTGGTATAAAATCTGTAAAACTGATAATACAAATTTGGTATGAAAATTTGTATAAAAATAAATCCAAACGGCGCGGCCAGATTTTATACCAATTGTTGCATCCCCGGATTTATATCAATTTCATACCAATTTTTACATCAATTTTATACAAAGTGTATGCCAACTGGGTATGACATCTGAGCCCAAATACGGTATGACATGTGTATAATGTGGTACCAACAATGTATATCATTGGTATAAATGTAAATGTGTTTTAAATTGGTATAAGCGTGGTCTAAATTTGGTATACATGTGGTATATACAAGTATGAAATTGGTATTGGTTGGTATAAACATTGGGGTCAAATTTGTATCAAATTGGTATAAAAATTGGCATCAAATTGGTCTGAAACGGGTACTGACTTGGCCTAAAGAGTTATTGTTAGAGGCGGGCACTTATCTCATCTGTATAGGTGTTGGTCTAGTCTCTGATTCTGCTTCAGTGGGCGACTGGAGAAGTGACTCAAACCACGAAAGAAAACAGGCTTCAGGGCTGGACATGCAGGTTTCAGGCAGGGCAGCCCTTCCAAGGACAAGGCAATGTGTTAGGGCAAAATTCAGAACAGGCCCAGCATTCCTGTGAGTGTGGACACCGAGCATTTCAAGGTATTCAGTGACTCAGGGCAGCCCTTGGAAGGTACTTATTAGTTGACGAATGCCCTTCTGCATAAACACCCCCCTCGATATGCGGGACAGAGCGCGGGACAAAGTGCCGGACAAAGTGCGGGACAAACTGCCGGACAAACAACTGTCCGGCAAGTTGTCCGGGGGGTTGTCCGGAAGGTTGTCCGGAGGGTTGCTGCAAACCCCCCCTCCCGCGAGAATACTTCCCTCCGAGTGGTTTCTGAGTGGTTTCCGAGCGGTTTCCGAGTGGTTTCCGAGTGGTTTCCGAGTGGTTTCCGAGTGGTTTTGGCGTGTTCCAAACCTGTCCGAAGACTTGTCTGGGGGTTTGTCCCGCGTTCTTGGGCCCTCAAAGCTGTCCGGACGGTTGTCCGGGGGTTTGTCCGGGGGGTTGCCGGGGGTTTGCGGGCCGGGCTTTTGAGCCCTCAAAGCTTGTGGAGGGTTGTCCGGGTTTGTTCGGGGAGTTGTCCCGCCGATTTTGTGCCCTCAAAGCTGTCCGGAGGGTTGTCCAGAGAACCGCCTTTGTCAACTTATTAGGACAACATTTGCAACCAGCCCAGCCTTCCTTCCTGCAGACACCAATGTTTCAAGAAGGACAATTTTTTGTAAATTTAATTAGAGCAACATTAGTTGAACAGGCCCAGCCCTCTTGAAAACATTGGTGTGTGCTAAAACTAAAGGAAAGGGCAGAATAAAAAAGGATGCAAAATAATCAGAAAACTCAGAAATCTAGAAACACATGGTTAAATCTGGCCCCCAAAAAGTACAATCCAAAGGTACTTGGATTCAGCCTGATAAAGAGGCCCCACACAACCAAAGACATGCCCAATTTATTTGTTCCCTTTGCTGCTCTCATCATGCCTCACCCCAGACACAATTCGCCGTTTGTCCCCTTTGCTGGCCAGTTTTCTGTTTTCAGTCTTTTGTCCTCCCAGCTGAGAAGGCTAGAGTTTATTGCAGCACCCATGCTCGAGTTAGCATATGCCTTTGCCGCAGGCAAACCTGAGTGCTGGCGGTGAATTGCCAGATCCTCGAGTCAGCAACACCCTTGTACCAAGGGCCGGCGAGCAAGCAACAACATGTTTGGTGTGTCGACGCCTGTGACGGGCTGGGCGCCCGCAGTTTTGAGACGCGTGGCTGGCGTGGCAGTGTGGTTGCAGTCTGGCTTAGCCAAGATTTCTTCTTCTTCAACGGGGATTGCCCGAAGTAAAGTAACTGGACTTGTCGCTTTGTGCCTTAGATGGCTTCTAGTGCTGTTGCTGCACCTCGCTCGCTCACCCGTCTGCACTCATGATGTTCCGGCTCTGTTCATCTTGCTGTACCTGTGCGCCTATTCTTCCACTGCATGTTTGGTGCCAGCAAGAGGGGCTTTGCTCAGTTGGTGGTGACAAACGGTTTCGAACCAAACAGCAGCTGGCGTCCTCCTGGCAAATGGTCCAACCCAGAAGTGATACGTCTGATTCCGCTTGCTTGCTTGTGTGCGTGCTTGCCCGCGTTCATGGTGCGGGCTTGCCCGCGTTCATGGTGCGGGCTTGCTTGCTTGCTTGCTTGCTTGCTTGCTTGCTTGCTTGCTTGCTTGCTTGCTTGCTTGCTTGCTTGCTTGCTTGCTTGCTTGCTTGCTTGCTTGCTTGCTTGCTTGCTTGCTTGCTTGCTTGCTTGCTTGCTTGCTTGCTTGCTTGCTTGCTTGCTTGCTCGCCTGTTTGCTTTTCTCATTGGACGTCAGCATTGATGCGACGATCAAGCGGCTTGTGCAACAGACTTGGCAGCCAGCGCATCCGACTGCAGTGGGATGAAGGCCAGAGCCACAGAACACCTCATGATGCAAAGAGTGGCGCTTCAAGAGCCCAGGGCTCGCCGCGAACAAATTTCCATGTACCCGAATTTCACCGAAGGGCCCAGCCACTTGAGTCTTATTCCCTGCCAGCCTTCCGAGAAGCCCCGAATGTTCACCACCAGCATTCTCCATTAGTTATTTGCCTGAGGCCACAGCGGCTAGCAAGAGAGCTGGAGAAGCTACCTCTGCAGGCAGCTGCACTTTCAGCCGCTTGGGGTTGGTGCTTCTTTTGTGGGCTGCCGCCGTTTTGAGACAAACCCATTTGGAGTTGGAAGTTCATTCTTGTCAGGCGTTTGAGCCCCCAAAGCCTGGCCCTGGAGTTCATAATGGGCCCATGGTGGGTGAAACTTCTGGGCCCACAGGGGCCCTGGTCTGGTGGAGTCTACAAATCTTGTTTTTCGTCACTTTGCAGACGTGAGACAGTTAGATCTGACCTGAATTGGTTGAGCGTTGTTTTCCAGACGTCGCTCTGCAGCAAGGCCCCCAGGTTTCCAGAAGAGGTTTGTATGTTAGAAGCCCCCCGCGCATCTTGCCACCTTCATTCATTCGCCATTAAACAATCCTTTTATTCATGTTGGCAGAAATATTATTTCCAAAAGGGGTTGCAACATCAGAATAATAGAATGGCGAAGGTTGCAGATTGTGCAATATGTTTGGGGAAATAATACCTATCGCAAAGATGGGCGAGGTTCGTTTTGTTCAATTTTGAGGAATTAACGGCTTGATTTTACGTATTTCCATAGGTTGTTCTTCTTCAGGTGTTTGTTCTGTTTGTTCTGGGTTTTGTCGTTCTACATTGATTGGTGTTTCTGTGTGTGTTTTGTCTGCTCTTGTGAGTGTGAGTGTAATGACTACCGCAACTACGTAGCAGCCTCTCAGTCAGTTTATCATTTTCTTCTTGATCTCTGTGTTTGTGATACTCCTGTATTTGTTCCTTATGTGTGTCTCTCTGTAAATCTCGCAGTGTACTAATTATTTTCCTTTGTTGTCTTTATATCTTTCAGTTCTGGTCCTGCCAGATACCATTGTGTGTACACAATGATAGTGTTTGATGCAAATACTATTATGTCCTTCCGAATTCTTCTTTGTTTTAACTGGGCAATGCTTTTGCAATTCAATTTTGCAGTTGTCTACGTCAAACTCATCAAATAAATAAGAGAGTGTGTATACATTCATTTTACCTTCTTTCCATCTTCTATAACCCTTTCTGTGTCTTGATATCAATTGACTTAAACTTTCGCAGGTGCTATCGATATAGCATTTGTTATAACCATTGTCAATAATTTTGTAAATTTTAGCGTTGTTATACTTGTTTTCCCTGGCACAATCTATAACAAATACGTTATCGTTTCTTTAGGCATTTTCATCCACAATTTCAACGGCGACAAAAAGGAATTGTATTAGTCAGTATGTGTGTCAACTCGATCGATTTCCTATGCGCTCTTAGAATTGTTATGGTATTACCAGTTTTCATATCAACAGTAAAGCCACATCCGCAGTAACTACACTGATTACGTATATGATCTAGACACCTTGGAGCATTTACATAATCTTCTCTAGTTTGTAGTTCAAATGTTCCTTTCAAAACAATTCATAATACATTGTTGATTAGATACATCATCATTTATCAAGTTTGACCTTATTCAAAAATCTCTACTCCTTGTCCAAATCCACTCGGGGTAATCTCTTGCAAAAAATGCTGATAGTCAATAATGGTAATATGTGTATCTACTGACGCACCTTGCATTGAATGAGCAGTGCAACACCAACTAAGCATAAAAATACTTTTCGCCTTTGCAACTTCTCAGGATTGTAGTCTTTGCCACCCGGCGCCACCAAGATCGGAAAATGTGGCCCCTGCTATTGCGATTTGGACCCAAACAATTTTAACATTTTAGCTGGGGGCCTTGTGGTGGATAGGGCCACGGCTACTGCGCTCGCTCTCCCAACTGTTTTCTCAGTCAATGCATGCTCTGCAGCCGCCCCCACCTATCTCTCCCGCGCACCCACGTTCGCCACTGCGCCAGTGTGATCTTCCGATGCGTTGTAGCAGGAAGTGTGCGGTTGGTGTCCTTGACAACTTCGCGGTCTTCCACCAGAACCTCATCCGAGCAATGCAGTTTACCGTGAAGTGAAGTGGCTTACCCCAAAACCCCACAAAAGCTGGTACACAAGACAACATTGCCAATGACAGGCAAGGGGCTGGGCTCACGGTGGGCCGTCCGGGGTTGCAGGCAGACTTGACCCCGCTGTCATCTGGCGCATAAGAACGCGCAGTGACTGGCCGTCTGCACTGAGCTGAACCACGTTTCTAGACACCCATGAGCCAATGTACTCATCAATGAGATTTGATGTGAAGCCCAGGCACATGCCAATCCAGAGGAGCTTGTGTGATAGTTGAAGAAAGCAGGCCGCGCCGTCTGAGGCCCATGGCTCAAAGCGGCCGTGCCATTGGCCGCGCAAAAGGCGCACCTCCGTGGGAGCCAGAGCAGCTGCCGTGGTGTCATGCGATGAGCTCCTCAAGAACGACGGAAACATTGCCCCCCCCACCCGAAACCCCCCTCCCCCAAAACCCCCCCCAACAAAAACCTGATCTTGGCCTAGCATTTCAATAATTTTACTGTCACAATACCATCTTTTCCAATATGAATAGTTTTCTATTTAAATGTAAATTAAACGCTCAGGCTATAGTTTTAGTGTATTCCCTACAAACTAGAACCCCTTCATATTCATCTTCAATTTTCTATCTTCCTAATTTCACTAGATACATGTTTACGTTTACAGGTTGTATTCAAAAATGCTATGTTGTTTGGTGATGTTGTGATAATTTGCTTTGTCGATAACCTGTTTCAATAGTATCAGTTTTAACATTTTGAGTTTACCTTTATCTTCTTGTGCAGGCAATATCTTGCATTTGTAAGGTTATGTTATATTAACAAATGTGTTCTACAATATTCCTGTTTTAAAGTTCAATCATCTTGTGTATTTGATAACTCTGGTATGCTTTTCAACTGTTTAACATCTCCTGTTGCAATTATAATTTTGCTGTGCGCATTTTGCTCTGCAAATTGCTTTATTCCCCAGCATGTGCCCGAATTGTTGAAATAAACTTCATCAAATACTACCACGCCAACACCTGTGAAACAATTGGTTCCAATGTAGCATCACCATAGTTAATGCCAAAGAATTTATTTATTGTTAGTGCTTCGCCTCTAAATTTTTGTATGACTTTTTTTGGTAGGGGATAGAGAAAGTACTTTGCGACCCTTACCAACCACTTTTTGACATATATAACTCTTGCCTGTGCCCGGATATTCTCCTCTAGTCATAATAGGGCTAGTCTGCTCACTGACTTCAACAGTTTTGCCGGTGTCGTACACATCTTCAACACGAATAGCTTAACTCTTATAAACTTGTACTTCTATTCAACTTCATGTTTTCCCACAGGTGAGTTAACTTCCTCGTTTCGTTTAGAAACTTTCCAACCTCCAATACGGTTATGGAATTCTAATATTTCTTTTGTCTTCTCTACATTACAGTTGTCAATTACAAACGCATCGGTTTTAACAAATACTATTCCAAACTAATTTGTAAACTATTGGTTCGTTTTAGAACTGTCATGATGTAAAAGCAATTCTTCAACATACCTATAAATACCGTTCTTCAACTCTGCTCTATCCTTGAAACTTTGTATACAATGTGATGCCTTTATACTGCCAACTTCTTCATCATTTTCTTCACTTTCTATATGTGGTAATTTACGAATTTTGCCTTCGTATTCTGTTTGATAATGGGCAGCCTCATCACTACTTTTCAATAACATGCTGTGATGTGCAGTTGCCCCTTCCTTTTCTAATAACCTAAAAATAATAATTAATACTATTTTTGATGATTTCATCCAAGTCTTTTTTTATCATCTTCATCTATAGCAGTTTTCCAAAGGTCATCAATGATTTTTTTCAAACCCACCTTATGAATCAATGAAGGTTGCTTATATAAAATCTTAAAATGATGCTTGTTGTTTTGTTTGTTGAACACTTAAGGAACTTGCCACACATTTAGTTATGCTTTTTGTTAAACATCAGAAATTCATTATTAAAGTTAATTCGTGTAATTCATTGACACCATTTGTATTATTATAAGGTTTCCCATGGTCAAACTGATTAAATACTGGTTTTTCCGGTACTATCTTCTAATATTTCGTCAATTCCTTATTTTCATGAATTTCAGCTTACTTTTTAAAGTTTTTCCCGAAAGCATCGCGAAGGGTTCTTTGGAAAAACGGTTGCCGACTACACAGCTGACTTACTCAAACTGACTTACGCATGACTGACGCAGCCTGACTTACGCAGCCTGACTTACGCAGCCTGACTTACACAGCCTGACTTACGCAGCGTAGCTTACGCAGCCTGACTTACGCAGCGTAGCTTACACAGCCTGACTTACGCAGCCTAGCTTACGCAGCCTGACTTACACAGCCTAGCTTACGCAGCTTTACTGACCCAGCCAAAGCTCGCAGCCTTTAGCGCTGGGGGGATGAACCCTCTGCGGGGATTGTGCGTGGTCGGAGCGCTCTCGCTGTGGCGCCGTGCGAATCTCAAATCTCGCGGACGAACCCTCTGCGGAAATTGCGCGTGTCGGAGCGCTCTCGCTGTGGCGCCGTGCGAATTTTCTGCGTGGCCCGCGAACCATCTGCGGAGATTTAGCGTGTCGATTCGCTCTCGCTGTGGCGCCGTGCGAATCTCAAAGCTCGCGGACGAACCCTCTGCGGAGATTGCGCGTGTCGGAGCGCTCTCGCTGTGGTGCCGTGCGATTTTTTTACGTGGACGACGAACTCTCTGCGAAGATTGCGCGTGTCGGATCGCTCTCGCTGTGGCGCCGTGCGAATCTCAAAGCTCGCGGACGAACCCTCTGCGGAGATTGCGCGTGTCGGAGCGCTCTCGCTGTGGTGCCGTGCGATTTTTTTACGTGGACGACGAACTCTCTGCGAAGATTGCGCGTGTCGGATCGCTCTCGCTGTGGCGCCGTGCGAATCTCAAAGCTCGCGGACGAACCCTCTGCGGAGATTGCGCGTGTCGGAGCGCTCTCGCTGTGGTGCCGTGCGATTTTTTTACGTGGACGACGAACTCTCTGCGAAGATTGCGCGTGTCGGATCGCTCTCGCTGTGGCGCCGTGCGAATCTCAAAGCTCG